GGAATAAGAAAGGAAACAGGAAGAAAGTCTCCAACAGTTGCAGGAAAGTCAGCAGCAACTACAGGAAAGTCAACAACAGTGGCAAGAAGTACAAATGAAAAACATTAGTAAATTTAAAAACGAATTAGATACGTTAAAGGACGATCTATTGTTTTTTACACAAGGAGGATACATTGACCATCGACTTAATCAGCCCCAGACAATGGCAAGCCCCTTACAGAGCCCGCAGCTAAACCCTAATGCAGACATATTCAGTCCCATTAGAAGTCACGTCCCAGATAATATGAATGTTAGTAATAGGAGTGATCCAGTGCGAATATGATGGGAAAGCACCGTGGGAAGCATATAGAGCACAGTTTGAGCTACTGGCAGAGATGAATAGATGGACAGCTTGAAAGGACAACCACTGTAAATACTTGGACAGTTGTCAGCAGACGACAGGCACAACTATAGAGCACTGGTGTCGGCTCTAGAACTCCGGTATGGAACCCAAAATTAGTCAGAAGTCTACAGGGCCAGGTTCAGGACGAGAGTCTGTGCTAAAGGGGAGAGCCTGCAAGAGCTGGCACAGGACTTGGAAAGCATGGCACACAAGGCCTACCCAACTGCACCACCGGATCTACTCAAGTTGTTGCTAAGGGATCAGTTTGTAGATGCCTTGGACAGTCCACAACTTAAGATACAAGTGAAGCAAGCACACCCTTCTACCATGCAGGATGCAATGGCCAGAGCTCTCAAATTTGAATACTACGTTAAGTCCAGCACAGAGGTACCGAGGTTGGTACAATCATCTGGATTCAAGGCCAGAAAAGGTCAGCTTTCAGAGAAGTTTGAGGAACTTTGCTGGCACTGTAACAAACCTGGGCACAAGAGAGCTCAATGCTGGAAACTTCAGCACAGGGGAGATGATACAGCAGGAAAGGCTGCTACTCAGAAAGGCTGTTGGAACTGTGGGGAGCAAGGACATATGAGGAGCCAGTGTAAGAAAAATACCACCAATAAGTCAGCTTCGGGAAACCAGTAGTGGTTGGTGCTAAGGGACGCCCACCAACCTCCATCGTGAAAGTCCCAACAGCTAAGTGTAAAATGGCAAGCACACATAGTATCTACGTGACAGGGAAGCTGGATGGCCAAAGGTGCAATTTTGTCATAGATTCTGCATCTCAGCAAACCCTTGTGAGCATCAAGGTGCTGGATAACAAAGGAGTACCAGAAGCCATACAGAAGCTCTGTGGTGTGACAGGACATTATGCAAGGTTGTGGGGACCAGTGTAGGTAACTTTCGAGCGCATGGGCAGGAAAAATAAACAGAAAGTATACTTGGCTGACATTGAAGACCAATGCATATTAGAGTTGGACTACTTACTACCGAAGAAGTGTGTGGTTAACTTCGATAAAATGACGTTTCAGAACAACAAAGGCATA